TAAGGCAGTGTAGACGCGTAACTTGTTGGCAAGGCCCGGCTAGTAAAGAGGGTGGGAACCAGGCGGTCTGGCTCCAGAATGTACCTCTGACACCCCTCGCCTCTGTGTGCCTCCCCCAGGAAGACAGTGTTCGTCAGGTCTTGGGGAGATGGACTGGGAGGGTGAGCCTAGACCCTGGCATTGGTGTGGAAGCAGCCATGGGCCGGCCAGGGGTCACGGGCCAACGTCGTGATGGGGATTTTGGCTTTGGCCATGGCCAGAAGTAGGAGACATGCAGGGAGAAGGACAAGGCGGGAGACGTCCCCGGCTTGTCCAGTAGGACTGGGTGGGGAGGAGGGCCACAGCACCCCGCCTCCTCCCTCGGCAGCCCCCTCTCCATCGTCTCAGCAACCTGTGGACAACCACAGTCTGAAAATACTGAGTAGAATATTCCAGAAATGAACAAGTCATAAGTTCTAAGTAGCTCTCTTTACCATACACTCGGAATTGTTCTGTTTTGTTCCTGGTGGCTGTTACTGTAAGTTACTGTTCCTCATTTATACTTTAAAACTCATCGTAGGTGTGTGAGTGTAGGAAAAGCAGGCTGTCTGGGACGCAGTACTTTTTAGTTTCAGGGCTCCCCGGGGGTCTTGGCATGTACCTTCTATGTGCAAGGGCGGCTGTGGTATTGCTTTCTGCTTTGGGACTTGTCCCTGCTGTGATGGATCCTTGGTGGCGTTAAGGAGATTCGCTGCAGAGTCGGGCTCACGTGACACCGTTCAGCCACTTTAACAAGGGCTGAGTCTAGACACACGCACCTGGCGTGTTTCTTTTAGAGAGGTATTTGCTATAGGGACGTGTGCTTGCCAAAGAGACAGAGAGACAGACTGGGGCCAGAGGTGGCGTTGTGGTTTAGAGTGCTGGACTCCCACTTGGCGGATGTGGTTCAAGTCCTGGACCTGGTGGCTTTCTTTCTCTCTCTCTTTCTGTCCCTCTCTGGTCAAAGTAAAATAAATAAATAGTTAATAAAATAATTCTTTAAAAAAAGAAAAAGAAAGACAGAGAGATGGCAAGTGAGAAATCACCCTCTGGGGAATGGCCATGCCACCATCTCTTCTCCATTACCCTCTTGGGATTTTGGACACACACAGGAACACATGCCCGGTGTGAGTTTTAAGCCACTGGATCTGGGACTCGAACCACGGTTGATACATGGGAGTCCAGTGACATAACCATTATGCCACTGCTGGTCCCAGGAAAGAGTTTCTTACTCATCATAAATACTAGTGGAGTATCAGCAGACGGTTTAACAACATTCGTGCTCAGTTTCACTGCTGGGAAGCCAAGCGCCATGTCCCTGCAACGACGTGAGAGCTACGTTCCAGCCTGAAGGGAAGATCTGGGGCCTGAAGTTTTTTATTAGAAAAAATTTCAGAGTATACAACAGCAGGGAGACTAGCATGCCGCCTTGCCCGGAATCTGTTACAGACCCCTAGTCGCCCACTCTCGCCCCGTCTCATGGCATCCACGTCCTGTCACCCCTCCCCTCCAGCTGGACCATAATCCGTCATCTCATTTCATGCACAGAGGTCTTAGTATAGATCTCGAAAAAGGGTGTTTTTCAAAGACACAGCTCCACACAGCATCGTCACACCTGAAGAGAAAGAAGTTCCTTAAGACCCGCAAGTCTACTTCGAACACTCAGTGTCGGTATTCCGTGGTGGTCTCAGAAACTCTCTTAAGAGCTGGTTTGTTCACAAGGTTCCAGATAAGGGCTGCCCTTGGCCTTGATCACGTCTTCTAGGCTCCTTTTATGGACACACCTGCACGTTTTAAGTTCCACTTTCTGTGTTGAAAAAAATGG